CCCCCCCCCCCCCCAATCAGATGCAGCAGGGGCATTCCCCACCCCTCTGTGATGTGTAGCTGGGGGGTTTGGTGTGAACCCAGTTATCCTGAAGATGCCCAAGCCGTGCAGAATTGTGACTAACACCCCCCTTCCCCCAGCCCAATCGGTCATGCCAGGGGCATTCCCCACCCTTGTGATGTGTAGCTGGGGGGCTTGGTGTCAACCCATTTCTCCTGAAGATGCCCAAGCCGTGCAGAATTGTGACTGATACCCCGCCCAATCAGTTGTGGCAGTTCTGATGTGTAGCTGGGGGGTATGGTGCAAATCACACCTGTGCTTGCATAATCAATGGGAGCACATCAAAACGCTCACGTTAATGCCCATCAACAACATGCATTGCAATGCACTTTGTATTGGATGTCATAATGCACATCAATGGGGGCTTAAGGGTTGACATGTCTGTTGTGTTTAGGTCAGCGGTGGCCAGGGGTGGTCGGACTGTGCCATTGTTTCAGCTGCGGGGGTTGGGGGTGGGGGAGGTAGCTAAGAAAAGTTTCACAGAGAAGTGTTGCTGGCACCGCGATATGATAACAACGCTGATACGTCACATTACAATGTCACTGAATGTTTTTATCAGAAAGCAGAAGAGTAAAACAATAATGAGGAAACAATAAGAAAGTGTAATAAACAAACAAGGAAACAAAGTCAGCGTTGTGTTTGCTGACAATGATCTCGATTTAGGACAATGGGGACACGATGAGATCTGTACCCGTCCAAAGTGACTTACAATCACACGCTCGTCCTTCCCGGAGGTGCGGAGACACCCGACGAAAGGTACATTAGGGTCACCGAGAGATTAAAGAAGCAGCAAATGAAATGAATGATCGGCAATGTTAAGCCGGCCGTACATAGTAGTCCTGGGTTGGGTTGTGGGTGGCCCTGTTAGCACCACCAGTGCTAAAAATCAACTTGCCGGGTGGAAAATGTTTGGAGGAAGAGTGACTGCGTCTTATCACTGTTGGGGTATTTAGGAAGCTGTGGGTGTCATGTCTATATACAATATCCGGCAGGGGATCTATAGGTTCTCCCTTGTTCAGCCCGTGGGATGATGAATATCTCTACGTGTTTGGCCAGTTTAAGATGGGTATTCCCTTCAATTTGGAGGGATTTGCGATTACTTCCTGTTGCATCGTCAAAATAGAAAGTAGAGGGAAATCTCCCCGAGAGAGCCTACACAGCAAGAAAGGTAACTGAAGGGGTTTTAACTAGGGATGCACCGATACAGTTTTTTTCGGTATCGAATACGCGCAACGATACCAAGTACCGTGTGCCCAGATTATCAGGAAGTCGGGTGGCAGATCATGATCCGTCGCCCCGACTTCCTGATTGTCTGTGAAGCCGGTGTTCTAGCAAAAGAACACTGGCTTCACTTGCCGAGGCTGCCTGACTTCCTGATCAGAAAGCCGGGTGGCGGGTCATGAGGTGCCGCTGGCTTTCTGATTAGTCAGGAAGCCAGGCTGCCTAGCAACAAGTAAAGCCGGCTTCCTAGACAATCAGGAAGCCGGGCGGTACGTCATAACTCACCTCTCAGCTTCCTGATTGGCTAAGAAGCCAACATCACTTGTTGCTTGGCTCACCAAACAGGAAGCCGGGGCGCGAGTCATGACGTGCCACTCGGCTTCCTGATTGGTTAGGAAGCCAGGCAGCTTACCAACAAGTGAAACCGGCTTCCTAGCCAATCAGGAAAGTGGGAGGTGGGTCATAACCCACTGCCGGGCTTCCTGATTGGAAAGGAAGCCGGCTCCATGCTCCCTCGGGAATGATAGACAGAGGGAGATCTCCCTCTGACCGGAAGTTCCGGTATCGGAGCATTTGGGTGAGTACGAATATCGGTACCGGTGCATCTCTAGTTTAGGCACTGCACCATCGGGAGCAGGTGGGTGTCACCCGACCTCGGGACGCCCCTGCAGACTACCGCTCACGAATTTCTTCCGAAATTTTCTTTTTCAGAAATTCAGATTCGTTTTCATTCATCATTTCTGTCATTCGGAGATTCGGACATATCCGAAAATTCGTCCGAATAATGAATGTTTCCGAAACGAATCGCACATGTCTACTGGAGAATACACAGCACATACGCAGACCGGGCGCCAAAGATTTTGACGCGCCGCTCTGCATCCCCGATGCCGATTTGTACCAATAACGTTTCTTGGAAAGCCGCCTTCGATGGAGAATTGATTTTTCTAAATTTTGGAAACTCCTTTCAGCCGACTCCTCCCATTTCCTTCTGTCATAGCCACTGTCTGTTTACATGTAAATGACAATTTTAGGTTTAGAAGCTGAATAAAACAACAAGAGGCTGCAAAATACAGATCAGAGTTCCATTTCACCGGCATGCGTCTACGTATAGCGCTCGTGTTTTTGCAGCGGCGGTCAGTGCGGTTTGGTATGTCTGTGCGAAATTCCTCTTCCTGGAATCCTGGAAAAGAAAAACAAAACACGAACAGAATCTCGGAGTGTTAAGAGTTCTCCAAGTGAAAAGGGCCACACATAATATTCAGGGGATGTGTTTCTATGGAAAGCTGCTTTGGGATTGGTTGAGGAGGGGGAGACGGTTCAGGAGACAGATTACAAGATACATTGTAAAAACAACAATATACAAAGATGGACACAGAATGAGGAAGAAATAAAGCAAGGCGGGGAACTCCCGGAAGACGATCTTATTTCCCTCCGCGGTTTGAGGGCTCGCTCACAGCTATCCTTCGCATGGTAACGTGTGATGAGCGCGTGCTATTGCGCAACACACCCACCGTGCATCACAGTGCGGGAGCTGAGTTGCGTTGTCATTCACTTGAATAGCACCCCAATGCACTTCCTTGTCCCCATGCTCGGCAAGTGCATGCACTACTTTTTCCCACTGCGTCGAAAGGCGTGGTATTGCAGTACCGTGCGTTGCAGTGAATTGTGTTTATTTACCTATATAATAGTGCGTTATATATCACCTGTAATTCATGATGAACGGGGGATGGTGGGAACCCAGTTCACCTGAATTCGCCTAAGCTTGTGCAGAATTGTGACCAACACCCCCCTTCCCCCGGCCCAATTGGTTGTGGCAGGGGCATTTCCCACCCTTGTGATGTGTAGCTGGGGGGCTTGGTATCAACCTAGTTCTCCTGCATTTGCCCAAGCCACTGCAGAATTGTAACTGATACCCCCCCCGGCCCAATTAGCGACGGGCATTTCAACTAGAGTTCACACAAAGCTACACGTCACAAGGGGGTGCCCCTGCCACAACTGATTGTGTGTGTGTGTGTGGGGGGGGGTATCAGTCATAATCCTGCACGGGCTTGGCCAAATTCAGAACAACGAAGTTCACACCAAGCCCCCCGGCTGTACATCACAGGGGGGTGGGGAATGCCCCTACCACAAATAATTGGGCCAAAACGGGGATTCGCACCAGGCCCCCCAGTTAGTCACAATTCTGCATGAGATTGGGAAAATTCAGGTGAACTGGGTTCACACCAAGCCCCCGAGCTGTGCATCACAAAGGGGTGGGGAATGCCCCTGCCGCAACTGATTGAGCCAGGAGAGGGGGGGGCGGGGGGGGGGAGTGTCAGTCACAGTTTTGCACAGGCTTTTTTTTAGCCTCATCCGACCTAATTAAAATCTCGCGCTTTACCATGCAACTATCAAGTGAGGTTGGTGAACAACCTTTTTGAAGTGAGGGCCGGTGCACACCTAGACGACACCTCACTGTGCGGCAATCATGCACGATTCCGCGCGGTCAGGAGTCGCCCAGATGTGCACCGATCGGCGATCGCGCTGTGGGTGCCATTATTTTCTAATGGCACCCCAGTCACAGCCGCGAGTCGCAAAACAAAGGTCCATGTATCATGTATCCAGGATCGCATCGGTCTGCACCGGGCCCGAAGCTGCGAGTGGCGTTACCCCAGCACCATCACTGCTTTGTGTGTGTTGAGCCAGGACCGATGATGAATGTGCACATGCGCAATTTTGTTTCCTGTGGCCGAAGAGAGCAAATCAAAACTTTCAAGGCAGGATAACTTTCTTTAAACTAGTCAGCGACATTACTGCCCCTTTAAACTTCACTAGTTACATTGTATCCCTTCAAGGAACATCCCCTCCCCCTCCCATCTTCACATAGGTGACCCCCGGCAGTCTAAAGCCCACAGCGGCCCCTTCCCCGAACTCCATCCCCGCACACATCCGCCGCACAGCCCGATAATAATCGGCCCGTTTGCCATTACTCAGCCGCAGCTCC